CCTCTTCCCTCCAGCCCACACAGCGGCCACAGCGCTGCCAGCGCCCACACAGCTCACATTCTGCCATCTGCACTGGAAACTCCACAGCGTGAAGAAAAAGGAAGCACTACTGAACAGCAACTTCCCTCGGAGACACTGGCCCACCGAAAGGGATTACTTCACCCACCTCTCTCCCACAGCCGGGGGCCCACCCAGCTGCCACACGCTGACACGGCATGTTCGTTGGCAGCTACAAAATTATCGATCAGCTTTAAAATCCGCAGCCCCCGCTCCGGCTACCCGGGTTTTAAGGTTAATGCCTGACACTTGATCAGCTTAATAAACTGAGTCCATTATCAGATTAGGGACTGAAGACATCTGCTCCTTCGGCCATCTGGGGAGTCTGCCGGAGTCTTCAAGTGGGAAGCCGAAGGAGGGAGCAGAAGCCGCCTCTCAGCAGCCTGGACAGATGTAACTCCCCAGCGCTTCGGAAAGGGAAGACCCTCGCCCTAGTCGGTAAGTTCCCTTCTTTCCTGCACAGCACAGACTATCCCATTGCCGTCTTCACCAATGTCACCGGGCTACAGGCTCTGGTTTTGCTCCCCCTAGAAGGAGCCTTTTCAGGTATCAGTGGCTTGCAGGCCAGGTGAAGGTGTCACAGTCTGAACGGTGGAACTGGCTGGTATTTACACCCTGCCGCAGGTGTGAAGCCAGGGGTGAGAAGGGCAGAATAGTTCATTTGCAGCGCGTTGGAGAGTGTGCACTCTTACACAAAGGACAACGACAGGTGCAATGCTAGCAATAGGCGGGCTGCCTGCCTGAACCGGGAAGAATCAGAGAGGCAAAGGGAGAGAGTGGGAAAATGAGAGAGAGGGAAGGGGTGTGTGTGGGGGTGTGTGTGTGTGTGTGAAAGAGAGTGAGAGAGAGAGAGAGTGAAAGAGAGAGAGAGGGAGAATGAGAGAGAGAGCGAGAGAGAATGTGTGTTAAAATGAATCCATTCCGCCTTATACTTAGGTACATTTTGGACTCAGACCTCCAAACTGGTTTTGAATTTAAACATGAGAGTGATTAATCCACTCGAGGAGCCAGTTAATTTTGGGTTTTCTGAATAACACTTTCCAAAAATGGGTATCTGTAAGAGATCTCTCTCTTCCTTAAGAAATCTGTCTGCACTAGACCCAACCAGCAGACCGGTTCCAGCCTTTATCCTTCCCAGAATCCCTGCGAAGTACTTCTTGGAGAAGAACGATTCTGTAGCACACATCCTGTGTTGTGACCCAACAGGGCATGTAAAGGTGTCGTGCTGATTTATATTAGCAGGGGAACTGGACTGATGTTTAAAAAAAACCAACCCAATTCTATTTATTATGTGGAAGATTTTTCACAAGCACAAATGGCAGTTAGGAATCTTCCTCCCTTTGACTTTCAGTGGGTGTTATGGTCCTTACGACAGTTTGTGCCTCCAGCCTTCCCCTGAACCTCGTTCTCTTGCAAACTCCAGCTCATCCAACAGATTCCAGCTCCCACTCTACTTCCATAAACAGGATTCTGTTTTCAGTGCTGTTGCTCATCAGAGAATCCTAGAATCATGGAATCCCAGGGTGAGCAGAGACCTCAGGAGTCATCAAATCCAGCCCCCTGCCCAAAGCAGGACCAACCCCAACTCAATCAGCCCCTTGCATCTGTGATCTCCCAGTTTATAAATAAGAAAGATCAGACGCATCATCTAAAATACATATTTACATACTCAGGATATGTTCAGTTTCACTGGACAGCTCCACGTTTCCTTCTCCTGCTGTTACTTTTTAGCACTCTCGCACGTTAATTGTTAAATTATTGCAAGTGAAAGCAAAATTGCCCCCAGAAATGCACACCCGAAAAGCATCACGGATATTTAAGTTTTGGCTTAAACTGACAAAGGCCGGGGAGGGAGAGAGTCAGAATTAGCACAGACTCCTTGACTTCAAGGGAGAAATGTGGTTTGCCCTAAGTGAGAATCCAGCCCCCCCGCATTCTGAGATACTCAGTAATTAACGATAGCGGGTGAATGAAGGACAGAGTTTCAGACCTTGCAGCGGGCACTATTGTTTTAAGTTAAAACTAGGAAGGTGTTTTCATGCTGCTTTTTGTACTCTGAAGAGCACGGCGGATGGTTTGGGATCAGTCACAGAGCCAGGCGTTTTGAGCTCCATCCTGCACGGCCACTGACTTACTGTCTGGCCCTCGAGTCTGTAAAACAAGGACAATCCGTGGTTTGTGCTATGTCCCTTAATTAGCTCATGTTCATAAAGTGCTTTGGGACTCTTGGGTGGAAGGCGCTAGAGACGGGCAAAGTGTTAAAAATGGAGCTGGAAACAGCAACCCAGGAACAAACCTACTCAGAGGAGTAAAGTTGGAGAAAAATTGCTGCCTTTCAGTGCAGAGTGCTTAGCGTTCACAAAGACGCAGCTCACGCTGAGAGCATTCTCTTAAGATAAATGGACAATTCTAGGCAATATCCAGGCTCGAGTTGTTAAATCCTCTGAAAGCCGCCCGTTAATCGAGGTTCAGGTTAAGGCTGGAGGCACAAATAGTAGTATGAACCCTAACACGCACTACAAGTCGAAGGTAAGTGGGTGCCTAGTGGCCATTTGTGCTTGTGAATATTCTTCCACATAATAGACTGAATTGGTTTTATTTAATATCCGTCCAGATCCTCTGCTACCGCATCAAGCCGTTATAGTAAAACCAATATCCAATTATCGTAAAAAGAATCAGTGAGCGTTGAAGGGACTATTAACCTGCATGCTCCAGGGCCTCAATCTACTCCTCACTGCTGGGGGTCAGGAAGACTCCCTCTGGCAGCAGTTAACCCTCTAACTGCCTGCTGCAGGGTTTCCTGTCCAGTCTCCGAGTACTGGTGACCGCTGGGAACAGGATATTGAACGAGACGGTTAATTGATCTGCTTTAGTTTTGTAATTCTTATATTACCTAAACCCACATAATCTCATTGGCTCTGCCAGCCTAAGCCCGGTGAGGATCTGGCCAATCAAAGTTTAACTGGTTGTATCGTCTGTTGGGAATGCTGGAGAAATTCAAGCATTTTCCGTACCAGCTCTGAATGGAGAAGCAAACAGAGGGTGTCTCCGAGCCCCCTGACTCCTATGGGCCTTAAGAGAAGCTAGAGTGTTGCTCGTACCTGCTACAGGACAAGCGTTTGCAGAAGATACATGTGCACCAGTAACAGGGCTTCCTATCTGGTTGCAGGGCAGCATGGCTCAGGATCTTACAGAAAAAGAACTTCTGAAGATGGAGCTTGACCAGCTGAAAAAGGAAGTGAAGAATGAAAGGCAAATGGCAAGTATTCCCCTTAGGGTCTCAGCACAATGGGAGACGTCAATCCCTGAGTTAACCATCTAGATGGATGTTCCCAGCAGGCCAAGGGCTCTGCCGAGCAAGGGCCTTTAGTTACATCTCAGATACAAAGCCAGGGGCTCAGTTTGCACCTTTCCACCTTCGAGATAAGAGTCGGGCTCGTGTCAGGCTAGCAGCGGTCTGGCTCCCAGCGCATACTAGCGGGCTAGGGGGCCTGGTGACGCGGGAGAGCACAAAGAGCACAGGATTTGGGCCCAGATCTCAAAGGTACTGAGCTGCCTGCCACTGAAACCAACGAGAGGCATGGGGCTCTGGCCCTTTGACCCTGGAGTACACAGAACTCCGGCTTCTCGGGCTGCCATTTGAGCATTTAAAGGCACATGGCAAATAGCCGCTTGCCATCCACGCCCCATGAGGTAGGGTGCTAGATGCTCCCAACTCCTGGTACAGCCTGTGGGGGAAGAGGGCACTCAGCAAGGACAGGTGAGCGTAGCCGGGTCCTGGCATACAGCATTCTACACAGCCCAGTCTTTGGACAGTCTGGATCCCAGCAGTGGTAGCCGCATGAACAGCCTGACCCTGTTCCATCCAAGCCCACCAGAGCCTGGATGAGAGCAAGGTCTTGCCAGTGACTTCAGCAACAGCAGGGTCAAGCCCAAACCGAGGGGAGAGAATGGCTTTAGATATGAGACACTTATCTGCAGCGTCCCACCGGGTTAACAGAAACAGATTAAGGGGCAGGAGAACTCGTCTGTACAGGAGACCCTGTAAAATAATCCACTTGCATTGTGCAGAGAAGACCAAGTCACATGCTAGAGAAGACAAAATCCTGCACCGGCTGAGGCATGATACTGACTAGATGAAGCATTTCCAACCTTTCCAGTCCCCCTACCTCTTTCCGGAGACTGATTTCTTTTGCACGTTTCACCTCACTTAAAAAGCACTTGCTTACAGAATCAGCCAAAAACGTCCCGGCCCAGTAGTACGGAAAAAAGGCCGACTTTCTCGTTCTTACGGTGTAGTTATAAATAAATCAACTGGAATAGCGTGCTTCCGCTGCAGGGTGATACCTGAGCCTGGATTCCTTTGGCCGCCTTGTCTATAGTCGCAGCCGCTCTGCCCGGGGCTGAAACGTGTAATTTCCTGGGCTACCGTCCGTAAGTTGAGAAGCACTGACCTGGATGAGCTGAGTACCCCCTAGAAAACCTCTGCATGAGCACCCCCGGGTTGAGAACCACTGGGCTACGTGATTTCCATTGCTGCCGTAGAGCCCAGCTGGATGAACGTGGCTAGAGTTCTTCAAACAGGAGCAGAGGTAGCAATGCAGCCTCTGCCTAGAATTCACTGGCTGATTTGTAGGCCCAGGCTGAGGGTCTGTTCTGTACGAGGGACGTTAAAACGCAGTTATCAGGCTGCCCGTATAGTCGATATGACGATACGACTAGTCGATAGGACGGCTCTGCAGGGCTGCAGCGAGGGGAGCCCCAGGAGCCGGCTCCAGCCGGGACTGAGCAGTCCTGGCTCGTGCTGGCTCTGGGGGGCACCCACGCTGTGGCTCTGCATTTTTAATGTAGCAAGAGCTTTTGGGCTCTT